TAGTTCTCTCTTGAACACTGAGGGGTCGGCCAGTTATGCCCCTTATGTGTAGCGGAAGCGTGTTGAACAGTCTCGGGCCTCTGATGTTGATAGTTCTCTCTTGAACACTGAGGGGTCGGCCAGTTATGCCCCTTATGTGTAGCGGAAGCGTGTTGAACAGTCTCGGGCCTCTGATGTTGATAGAGTTCTCTCAGAGTACCTGTCGCACCTCCGCTTTTCAACGGGGGTATTCTGCACATCCTGCCATGTCTTCTGGTCTCATGTGATGTTATTTCTGTGTGCAGGTTTGGGACCAGCCCCTCTAATATTTTCCACGTGTAAATTATTATGTATCTCTCCCGCCTGCGCTCAAGGGAGTACAGATTTAGGCTCTTTAGTCGGTACCAATAGTTTAGATGTTTTACTGAGTGGATTCTAGCAGTAAAGGATCTCTGCACGCTCTCCAGGTCAGCAATTTCTCCAGCTTTGAAAGGGGCTGTCATTGTGCAGCAGTACTCCACTCTAGAGAGCATTGTGTATCCTCACCATACCAATGTACTTTCTTGTATATATACAAATAAATAAACAAATAAGTTAGAGAAGATGGTGAAGGGTCGGGAAGTTGATTGACTCTTTTTTATTATTAACAGGCTTAGGTATACACAACACTATACGGCTGCTGCTCTATTCTATCTGAAGGATTGCAAAATGTAAATAAAAAACTAACTACAAGTGTGCCTTTTTTGTTATTAAGCCCGATACGATAGTTTACCGAGAAAGTATACTTTACCCCTGAGCATAATTCAGGTTTGCATCAGTTTAGTGTCAGTATAAAGTGTAAGTTTGAGCATTATTACAGATGGTTTACCTCGTAGTAATCTGTAATTTTTTCACAAAAGTTATTTGTTACCCAAAATATTTGTATTTTTGTAAGTATTTTAAATAAAAAATACACAAAATTTTATTTTTGCTAATTATGAAGAAAGACTAACTTAGTGCTCTTTTTTGAAACAAAAATAGACACTTTTGAATTCAATTATTCATTTATTGAAGAAAAATAAAATAAGAGACAATATCAATACTAAAGTCATAATCAAACTAAAGTTCGTAATGCCTTAATACAACATATCCAAAATTATTAATGCAGAGTAGGATTCGAATCCCTGGACGAGGAATTCCCTCTCACCCACAGTACCAATTGCTTCCAGGCCTAAGTAGGCCTATGAGAGACATTGACAGGACTAGTTAGACGTGGGTCTCTGGAGGCCCTCTAGTAATACTGGAGAGGAACGCTGGCATCTCAAGAACACACTCAACTTTCACTTCTTCACAAGACGTTATTTACAAGTTCTCTGTGGCTCTCCTCTTCCGGCCGAACGTGTGACTGAAACCAAGTCCAAAACTGTTGGACCTGTTGGAAATAAAGTTTTGTTTTAACATTTAAGAGAGAAATATTAATTAATGAAGGTTCTTCACGAGACAAACTTTTAGCTGAAAACATCAAATATAATCTTACGTGGAAAGGAAGACTATATGCCACTTACAAACTGTATATCAATACATGACAGGATCTATAGTAATGACACTGACGAATGTTGTACTGGGGCAAATTGCACATGTTTACAGTGAAGGGTGTAGCAGGTGTTTAGACTGAAGGGTGTAACAGGTGTTAACAGCGAAGTGTGACGAGAACAGCTGGAAGAGAGGCCTACCTGCCGCCTCCACCCCGGGAGTGTTGAAAACCGGCGGTGATGGAGGTCTGTTTGTTGGGCTTGAACTCGTAACCCAAATTGGCTCCCACGTTCCTCTCGCTCCCAAGGCTGCATCATGGTATACAGATTACTACATTATCTGTGCTACTGTATAATTTATTGTACTAAATATTTGTTTATATGATCTATATATAGATGAATATTTATCAAAATATAAAAACTGTGCTATATTAACGAATCTTAATTTGTACATTTTACTGTTTATATATTTCAACTTTGAGTTAAAATACTGAGCCAAAGTGTACCAACAGTTTACAATAACAATGATAAACAGTGGAATATGGTTGTCTTACCCGGGAACTTTGGTGTGGTCAACACTGAGGCCGCCTTGGATTGTGTGTTTGTCGAAGGTGTGACCCAAGTTGATGCTAGCGCTGTCTCGCCGAGCCCTGCAACACATGCAACACTTCATATATCACAGTCCCCAGACCCGTGCAATACAGAGAACACACTACATATTATAGTCCCCTGAGCCTTGCAACACATAGAACACTACACATGTTAGTCTTATTACACCTCTCTGCCTTTTTTATAACATTTACACAACTCTTCCTCTAAGGTTTTTATTAGCAATTCGTTACACAAGTATAATATATTATGCTGTGAGGAGAGTCCACTTACCCACCACCCCGGTGTTCAGTGTTGGCGGATCCGGATACTGTGGTCTGTCGCTTTCTTCGTTCATGACTCAAACCAACTTCACCAGAGTTTAGGGACGGTTCTCGTCCCTCGTCATGCACCAAATATGGATCAAGCTCCTCGTCCGACGTGTAAATTGGCGCCAGATTGGTATCTTGTGTTGGTGTGCTGGTGAGCTGCAGCGACGAGCCCTGGAGGGGGCTGCCTGTCACCACTGCTAGGAGCAGGGCGCTCACTGTGAGTGTTGTCTGCATGTTAGACTCTTGCTGAGGACAGTGGTGACGGACTCTCGGCTCCAGGAGGTTATATACTCCTGGACAAATTGTGGGAAATACCTTCAACCAACAACAGCAAAATGATTTGTTGTCATTGTCTGATCGTGTCCTTGACTGTGAGACGCAACAATCTGTCCTGCTTGGAGTTCCCGTCACTATTTTCCCAGTGTTATTGAAACGTTCCCTCTGCTGAAGTAAAAATAAATATTTTTAGATTTTTTGGAAGGCAATCATCGACTTGTATCTATTTATACATTTCATAGTATATTATCATTATACATGTTTGAGTAAAATGTTAAATTAAGGAGTCTGTATGGAAGCATTATAACCTAGTCTACGATAATGCTGAGGCAGTATGGTCATCCAGAGACTGACTCCATATATACTGTTATTACCTCACCTAACAGTACATACCTATACGTGTCTTCGAGGGACGGATGTTTAGCTCTTAATGCCCCCCCCCTCCCCCCGTACAAGCCGTGGTTTACATGTTGCGTTAATATTCTAACTATTCTGACGTTTGAATTCTTTGCCGAAACTGGCTTTAAAGTTGTGGCTCGTGGTGGCTTCCAAACCTTCTTTCAGAGCATTTCTCTTGTTGGACATGCTCGTACTACTTGCACAGGGTACGAGCATGTCCTTATATTTCCTCGACTCGTGTGAGTAAATATATTCAGGAAGGCATTCAACCTAGTCTTAGACGAGAGTGGGATCAAGCAACACAACAGTCAGACTTATACATGTGCAGTAAGCATGCGCAATGCAACAGAGGTATCACTACCAGCATTCTTATCCTCGTACATCGCTGCCTGCTAATTAGTAGTGAAGATCCTGACAGAGCACATGAGGGACCCGGAAGGAGCTCACGATGTAGAGGTTACCGAAGGAGCCAGTTAGTGGGATACACACTAGCTGGCCCACCCACCCCTCGCCCCGACCACCAGCGCCAAAAGATCACAGACAAGCTCACTAGGAGAGTCCCATAAGGGAAAAGTTTACCTAAATAATGCTCGAAAATGCATTTGCGAGAACAAAGACCGCCTCCTAGTGGAAAATTCACACCCCATGCAGGGAATTTATAATCTGCCGTACTCAACTCAACTCTGGGAAATCTCTTTAATCACGACACTCATCGTATTGGTGTAGCCCTTCGTCTTGCCGTCCCTGTCCTCACCGTAGACAGGTGTAGCTATGGAAAAGAATTAGGCAGATCAATACAGCCATCACAGTCATATGCTGTAAATCATAGGGGGCAAGACTGCAAGACCTTAAGAAATCTATGGCGTCATCAAGAGGAGCCTCGCCACAGTCCGCTGCCCGTCACAAAGATAACAGCACCTATACAGCTCCAGCGGCACTCAGAAGTGTTCGGTCGGGGTCGCCATGCTTCCCCTGTATTCGTTTGCCTTGTTCGGGTTGAATGTAGACACAGTAGTCGCTCCTGTATATATTTATTGACCGAGACAACAAGGTATATATCTGGCCAACCGAGGTCCACCTTAGTCTGGGTCTGAGAGAGAACTGAGGCTGCTGGGAGCATTGCTGATGCTCCTCTGTCTGGCATGACGTAAGAGGCCTCCTTGCCTGTGATTGGTTACATTTCAACTGACATAGAATTTGAGTATAACACCTGGAAGGATGGTAAGCTAGTGATGTGGGACTACACACGTGCCTCCACACTGGTCAGTACCTATACCTTCAATACAGAGCAATCGATGGAGCTGGCGAAGCTGCTTTCAGGGTAACCCAGCAAGCCACTTGATACAGAGGTCTGGCACATTGCTACAGTTTTGTTCCGATTGGCTTGGCAACCCTTGGTTCGTGGGGCAAAGGTGGACTGAAGTTCCTGAGAATTGGGCGATAAACTAATTAGGATTACAAAAGACCAAAGAGCGACAAGTGCAGAGACCGGGTCGCCCAGGGCAACGAGAGAGCCAGAAGAAGACAAATTGAAAAGCAGAGACGGACTTACAACAACACACAGAGACAGACAGACAGATAGAGGCAGGTAGAGATAGAGAGAGAGAGAGAGAAGGAAAGATAAGAGAAGAGAGAGGGAGTTTGAAGAGCGAGAAGTAGAATGGAGGATATTTAAATAGGGGAAAGGAGAGAGAGAGAGAGAGAGAGAGAGAGAGAGAGAGAGAGAGAGAGAGAGAGAGGGGTGGAAAGAGACGAGAAGTATGAAATATGGAGAGGGGAGAAAGATGGAGAGGGTGGGAGAGAGGGAAGGAGGAGGAGGAGTATGGGGTGCACAATAACACAGGACCTCACACACGTCACACACACACCAGGAAGGCGTGCGCCGATAACCCTCACTCAGCAACACACGCAAAAAATGCTTCCAGAACCAATACAAAGAGGTCGGTACACTCACCTTGCCCCGTCATCCTCCAGCACTCACCTTCACCGTCATCATCCTCCATCACTCACCTTCACCGTCATCATCCTCCAGCACTCACCTTCACCGTCATCATCCTCCAGCACTCACCTTCACCGTCATCATCCTCAAGCACTCACCTTCACCGTCATCATCCTCAAGCACTCACCTTCACCGTCATCATCCTCCAGCACTCACCTTCACTGTCATCATCATCCAGCACTCACCTTCACCGTCATCATCCTCCAGCACTCACCTTCACCGTCATCATCCTCCAGCACTCATCTTCACCGTCATCATCCTCCAGCACTCACCTTCACCGTCATCATCCTCCAGCACTCACCTTCACCGTCATCATCCTCCAGCACTCAGCTTCACCGTCATCATCCTCCAGCACTCACCTTCACCGTCATCATCCTCCAGCACTCACTTTCACCGTCATCATCCTCCAGCACTCACCTTCACCGTCATCATCCTCCAGCACTCACCTTCACCGTCATCATCCTCCAGCACTCACCTTCACCGTCATCATCCTCCAGCACTCACCTTCACCGTCATCATCCTCCAGTACTCACCTTCACCGTCATCATCCTCCAGCACTCACCTTCACCGTCATCATCCTCCAGCACTCACCTTCACCTTCACCGTCATCATCCTCCAGCACTCACCTTCACCGTCATCATCCTCCAGCACTCACCTTCACCGTCATCATCCTCCAGCACTCACCTTCACCTTCACCGTCATCATCCTCCAGCACTCACCTTCACCGTCATCATCCTCCAGTACTCACCTTCACCGTCATCATCCTCCAGCACTCACCTTCACCGTCATCATCCTCCAGCACTCCGCCCTTCTCCCGCCTTCAGAATATCATCAGTCTAGAGGAGGAATCTCAACGAGCCATGAAAATGTTCAAAATAAAACGAAAAGGATCAAATATATTCTTATCTACAAAAAAGAAAAAGAAAAAATGCTGACGCATAAGCAAGATCCAATTATTGTGTAAATATATTTTACTAGCGGCATGAACTCAGAGCTCTCGGAAAACTGGTTCCGGAGTGCCCCATGAAGCATTGTGTGAGATCAACGGCAAGTTCCCGAAATTCTGAAATGGTTATTTATGCTGTCGGTGGGTGCGGGAGATTCCCATTGGTTATCCTGATCTATATAACCTGCTGGAGCCAACAGTCCGTCACCACTGTCCTCAACAAGAGTCTAACATGCAGACAACACTCACAGTGAGCGCCCTGCTCCTAGCAGTGGTGACAGGCAGCCCCCTCCAGGGCTCGTCACTGCAGCTCACCAACACACCAACACAAGATACCAATCTGGCGCCAATTTACACGTCGGACGAGGAGCTTGATTCATATTTGGTGCAAGACGAGGGACGAGAACCGTCCCTAAACTCTGGTGAAGATGGTTTGAGTCATGAACGAAGAAAGCGACAGACCACAGTATCCGGATCCGCCAACACTGAACACCTGGGTGGTGGGTAAGTGGACTCTCCTCACAGCTTAATATATTATACTTGTGTTACGAATTGCTAATAAAATCATTGGAGGAAGAGTTCTGTAAATGTTATTAGAAAGGCAGAGAGGTGTAATAGGACTAACATGTGTAGTGTTTTCTATGAGTTGCAAGGCTCAGGGGACTATAATATGTAGTGTGTTGACTGTATTGTAAAGGTCTAGGGACTATGACATGTAGTGTGTTGAAAGGGTCTGGGAAACTATAACATATGAAGTGTTGCATGTGTTGCAGGGCTCGGCGAGACAGCGCTAGCATCAACTTGGGTCACACCTTCGACAAACACACAATCCAAGGCGGCCTCAGTGTTGACCGCACCAAAGTTCCCGGGTAATACAACCATATTCCACTGTTTATCATTGTTATTGCAAACTGTTGGTACACTTTGGCTCAGTATTTTAACTCAAAGTTGAAATATATAAAGAGTAAAATGGACAGGTAAAGCTTTGTTAATTTAGTACAGTTTTTGTTTTGTTGATAAATATTTATCTATTTATAGATCATATAAACAAAGATTCAGTACAATAAATTATACAGTAGCACAGATAATGTAGTAATCTGTATACCATGATGCAGCCTTGGGAGCGAGAGGAACGTGGGAGCCAATTTGGGTTACGAGTTCAAGCCCAACAAACAGACCTCCTTCACCGCCGGTTTTCAACACTCCCGGGGTGGAGGCCGCAGGTAGGCCTCTCTTCCAGCTGTTCTCGTCACACTTCGCTGTTAACACCTGTTACACCCTTCAGTCTAAACACCTGCTATACCCTTTTCTATAAACATGAGCAAATGATCCATTACAACATCCGCCAGTGTCATTACTATAGATTCTGTCATGTATTCATATACAGTTTATAAGTGTTATAAAGTCTGCGTTTCCTCGTAAGATTATATTTGATATTTTCATCGCAGCTCAAAGTTTGTCTCGTGAGGAACCTTCATTAATTATTATTTCTCATTTAAATGTTACAACAAAACTTTATTTCCAACAGATCCAACAATTTTGGAGTTGGTTTCAGTCACACGTTCGGCCGGAAGAGGAGATCCACAGAGAACTTGTAAATAACGTCTTGTGAAGAAGTGAAAGTTGAGTGTGTTCTTAAGATGCCAGCGTTCCTCTCCAGTGTTACTAGAGGGCCTCCAGAGACCCGCGTCTAAAAAGTCCTGTCAATGCCTCTTATACTAATAGGCCTACCTTGGCCTGGAAGCAACTGGGAGTGTGGAGTCACAAGGAATTCTTAGTCTAGGGGTTCGAATTCTACAATACATTGTTATTTCTTTCATCATTTCATTATGAACATTAGTTCAATATTGCCCATAATGTTATCATTGAACAATATTATAGACGTATTTAAATAAATTTAACAATAGAACGGCTTATTATTATTATCTGGATAATCTTTAGTAAGTTGGTCTCTTGTGTTACTTTGTTATGCTCACATGCTGACCAAAGTCTGGTGAGGGTGACGTTACAAGCCATGTTACAAGCATGTTACAAGTACTGCCATATCTTCCCCTCTTGTTGTTGCTGTTCCTTACTCGTGTACCGTCTTGATGGATGAGCATCTTGACGCTTCGACGAAGGAGCAAATTACCAGCAGGAATATCGGAAACGTCAAGAGCCAATGTGACGTGACGGAGATGCTGGAGCACGGAGCACGGAGCACACACACACACACACACACACACACACACACACACACACACACACACACACACACACACACACACACACACACACACACACACACACACACCTCAATCATCTCTCAATGAATGAATTAATGAACTATGAGGAGAAAGCTCCAAACCATTACGACTATATAGCACTGGGAAGGGGTCAGGATAAGGATTTGGGATGGGACGGGAAGGAAGGAATGGTGCCCAACCACTTGTGGACTGTCCAGGATTGAACGCCGACCTGCATGAAGCCAGTCCATCGCTCTACCGTCCAGCTCAAGTGGTTGGGTAAAATCACTTGTCTCGCTTCGTGTGTCGTAGATATTATTTATACAGTATTCACACAGCCGTGAATATGCTGATATTTATATTAATAAAACATTCTTAAACATTAACACAACCCATTAAAACATTTTACCACCTTTTAAAGTATTCAGAGCAACAAACCTAACAATACTTAAACATTAACACAACAACCCATTAAAACATTTTACCACCTTTTAAAGTATTCAGAGCAACAAACCTAACAATACTTTCAAACATTAACACAATAAATTATCAGGAAAGTAGAAATAGCAGACTGTGAGTCACAATAACGTGGCTGAAGATATGATGACCAGACCATACACCACAAGATGAAGACACGACGACGTCTCGGTCCGTCGAAATAGCATTGACCCGTGTCAAGGTCCCCCATGTAGGTCAAGGTCCCCCATGTAGGTCAAGGTCCCCCATGTAGGTCAAGGTCCCCCATGTAGGTCAAGGTCTCCCATGTAGGTCAAGGTCCCCCATGTAGGTCAAGGTCCCCCATGTAGGTCAAGGTCCCCCATGTAGGTCAAGGTCTCCCATGTAGGTCAAGGTCCCCCATGTAGGTCAAGGTCCCCCATGTAGGTCAAGGTCCCCCATGTAGGTCAAGGTCCCCCATGTAGGTCAGGATCCCCCATGTAGGTCAAGGTCCCCCATGTAGGTCAAGGTCCCCCATGTAGGTCAAGGTCCCCCATGTAGGTCAAGGTCCCCCATGTAGGTCAAGGTCCCCCATGTAGGTCAAGGTCTCCCATGTAGGTCAAGGTCCCCCATGTAGATCAAGGTCCCCCATGTAGGTCAAGGTCCCCCATGTAGGTCAAGGTCCCCCATGTAGGTCAAGGTCCCCCATGTAGGTCAAGGTCCCCCATGTAGGTCAAGGTCCCCCATGTAGGTCAAGGTCTACCATGAAGGTCAAGGTCTCCCATGTAGGTCAAGGTCTCCCATGTAGGTCAAGGTCCCCCATGTAGGTCAAGGTCCCCCATGTAGGTCAAGGTCTCCCATGTAGGTCAAGGTCTCCCATGTAGGTCAAGGTCCCCCATGTAGATCAAGGTCCCCCATGTAGGTCATGGTCCCCCATGTAGGTCAAGGTCTCCCATGTAGGTCAAGGTCCCCCATGTAGGTCAAGGTCCCCCATGTAGGTCAGGATCCCCCATGTAGGTCAAGGTCCCCCATGTAGGTCAGGATCCCCCATGTAGGTCAAGGTCCCCCATGTAGGTCAGGATCCCCCATGTAGGTCAAGGTCCCCCATGTAGGTCAGGATCCCCCATGTAGGTCAAGGTCCCCCATGTAGGTCAAGGTCCCCCATGTAGGTCAGGATCCCCCATGTAGGTCAAGGTCCCCCATGTAGGTCAAGGTCCCCCATGTAGGTCAAGGTCCCCCATGTAGGTCAGGATCCCCCATGTAGGTCAAGGTCTCCCATGTAGGTCAAGGTCTCCCATGTAGGTCAAGGTCCCCCTTGTAGGTCAAGGTCCCCCATGTAGGTCAAGGTCCCCCATGTAGGTCAAGGTCCCCCATGTAGGTCAAGGTCCCCCATGTAGGTCAAGGTCTCCCATGTAGGTCAAGGTCCCCCATGTAGGTCAAGGTCTTCCCTAATAACAGCCCAGGAAGCCAAAGTGGGAAACAAAAATCTTGTAATATATTGCCTGATAACTGAGTCACACTTGGCTAGGTCTTCAAGGTCAGTGAGTCAAGCTGACAGTCTCTCGCCAGATCACTGTCTCAAGCTGACAGTCTCTCGCCAGGTCACTGTCTCAAGCTGACAGTCTCACACCAGGTCACTGTCTCAAGCTGACAGTCTCACACCAGGTCACTGTCTCAAGCTGACAGTCTCACACCAGGTCACTGTCTCAAGCTGACAGTCTCACACCAGGTCACTGTCTCAAGCTGACAGTCTCTCGCCAGGTCAATGTCTCAAGCTGACAGTCCCACACCAGGTCACTGTCTCAAGCTGACAGTCTCACACCAGGTCACTGTCTCAAGCTGACAGTCCCACACCAGGTCACTGTCTCAAGCTGACAGTCTCACACCAGGTCACTGTCTCAAGCTGAAAGTCCCACACCAGGTCACTGTCTCAAGCTGACAGTCTCACACCAGGTCACTGTCTCAAGCTGACAGTCTCACACCAGGTCACTGTCTCAAGCTGACAGTCCCACACTAAGTTACTGTCTCAAGTTGACAGTCTCACACCAGGTCACTGTCTCAAGCTGACAGTCTCACACCAGGTCACTGTCTCAAGCTGACAGTCCCACACCAGGTCACTGTCTCAAGCTGACAGTCCCACACTAAGTTACTGTCTCAAGTTGACAGTCTCTCGCCAGGTCACTGTCTCAAGCTGACAGTCTCACACCAGGTCACTGTCTCAAGCTGACAGTCTCACACCAGGTCACTGTCTCAAGCTGACAGTCCCACACCAGGTCACTGTCTCAAGCTGACAGTCCCACACCAGGTCACTGTCTCAAGCTGACAGTCTCACACCAGGTCACTGTCTCAAGTTGACAGTCTCACACCAGGTCACTGTCTCAAGCTGACAGTCCCACACCAGGTCACTGTCTCAAGCTGACAGTCCCACACTAAGTTACTGTCTCAAGTTGACAGTCTCACA